GTGGGGCCTCCTTCCCCTGCCCCGACATGCAAATTGAAATTGTTTGCCTTGTCGGGGAGTGTGTGAACTGGATTGAACCTTGGCAGTGCCGCCAGCTGTTGTTGCTCCTAACAGTCGTGGCTGTTGCTGTTGCTGTTGACACGTAATATAAATTCTCAACAAATTTTGGGGACAACCCTCCAACTTTGACTCTCTTTTTGTTTGATTTTCTAATATTTGCCTCTTCTATTAATGAAAACACACAAAATGCGCTGAAAACTAAAACGACCCCTCCCCTCTCCTCACCGCACCAGTGACCCAACTACACAAGTCAACTCTGCGGCCGCCTCATGAACTTTTACTAAATAAAATGTCCCACAAAATGCCATTTAATTGTTGCCAAAAAAATATGTGTATATGTATATTCGCATGTACATACATACATATGTGTGTATATAGTGGTTGTTATTTTGTATATTTTTTCAGTGTAGCCACAGGAGCCGTGGCTCCCGGTCCAGGGGTGTAGGCATGCGGGGCGTTAGCTAATGACACTTGTCGCGTGTGCAGGTTTCATGTTGTTGGGGTAGCCTGCATTTTGCGTTTTGTGTGTTTGTCTCCTACTCTCTTCCCTACTCTTCCCATCCGCTCCTCCCCGCTGCACATTTCCATATTTAATTGCACATCTTGATAAGAGTCCTATGCCCCTTGTCCACTCTCCCTTCCTTCCTTCTACAGCACTCTGCTGTTGACATTTTCAATGCGAAATTATGCGACACGGCAGCTCTGGTTTTTTTTTATTCGCTTTTTGTTGTTGTTGCTTTGTGCTCTGTTATTCATTAGCCTCTGTTGCTGTTGACCTCAATTTTTATTGCCTGCCACGTTTTTAATGTCGCGTGTCGCAGTTTTCTTCGTTTTCCCTGCCTCCATGCCCCATTTCGGTGGCTCCCCTCTGCCGTCGCTTGCAGCTGTGCAACAGGTTGTTGAACCTGGGACTTGCCAAAGGTTTGTTCCCCGCTTAAAAGTGGGCAAAGAACATAATTGAGATATGTATTTAAATGTGCGGAAAGTGTAGACTGGCAACGCGAACATTAATGGAATTTACGTGACCCGGGAGGGGGAGGAGCAGTGCACAAAAACAAGCGGATTCTGCAGAATTAATTTCTCAATTTTCCTTTGATTTTTTCTGTAGTGTTCTCTCTGTATATTCTCAAATAGTGAAACCTACAAATTGCATGATAGGCACAATCCAACCTCCTCCTTTGCCGCCTGCAGCTAATCCCCTCTCTACCCGCCTGCCCACGGGCAGTCTTTACCAATGGAAACTTTATGGCTCTGTTGTCAAAATGTTTAACTAACACTTGAGAAGCGTTGCTCATAAAATGATAGAAAAAGAAACGCATTAAGAGCGCAAATAAACTTTTATTGGGATAGAATTCTCGTTACTACTCGTAAAACAGACGGCCCCCCCGCCGGTAGCCGACCACCTCTCCCTGGCACAAGGCTCCTCTCCATCATGGATGGATGGATGGATGGATGGGTCAACGGACACATTGAACAAATAGCAGATGAACGCTCATACCTATGGGGCAGGAGTAGTGCAGGGAGAGGAGAGGGGAGCCAGCTGCTCGACAATTGTTTTATAACTATTTTAGCGATTAAGCGAAAAGTGCAGAAGAAGTTCAATAGTAGATAATAAAAATACCCTATAGAACCTCCATTCGTGACCCTTTACTCAAGGCTCTGCTGCTACAAGGGGTATCAATATACCTTGAGACGGCAACAAAGCCTGGATGAGTATTCGCTTTCCATCAAATGTTGCAAGCTCAGTGGGCAGCCCAGCACACCCCTCCAGCGTTCGCGGAGTAGCGGGTAGCATAAAAGGAAAATTGCTTAATTTATGTGTCATTTATCTAAATGGAGCAACCGAGCAAGAGCAGAGCGGAGCAGGGCAGAGCAAACGAAACAGACAGACGAACCCAATGACTGTCTCACTCTACTATATATGTATGTATATATATTCTTTTTATAAAGCTCGCGATAAGCGACCAGCGACTGACAGGCAGGATGGCAATGGTGCGAAGAGTGCAGAGTGGAGTGGTGCTGGGGCTGGGGCTGGGGGGAGTTGGAACTTTTGTGCCAGTGTTGTCGTGGTGCCAGAGTAATTAAAAATCTTCAGACATGTTGTTGTTGCTGGCGACAAATAATCGTCGTCGGCAGCTGAGCCGAAAGAGAGAGTGAGAGAGAGAGAGAGAGAGAGACACAAAGCGAGAGGGCAAAAGCGAAGAGTAGCGCAGGGCAGAGAACATGGAGCAGAGCAGGAGGAGGAGGAGGAGGAGGAACATGCGATTAAAATTTTAAATGACAGTTGACAGTTTCATCATCAGCATGTGTACAAGAAATTTACATACATACATATGTACATAGATATGGAGGGAGATAGCCGCAGGAGGGGTCCGCTGGACAGGGGGAAATGCTGTGCAACATGAACAGGAACTGCAGAGCAGGTGAAATGTCATATGGGATTGAGTTTAGAGCAGACTGAAAAGCTGTGCTGTGGCTGTGGCTGGGTCTGGGCTCGATAGGGACAGGAATAGGGCAGACGGGAGGCAGAGTGTGCCAACAGGCTGCTATCGACTCCAGCAATTGAAGGGAATGGAATGCGTAAAAGTGTCACAGCCACAGCCAGTCGCAACAAAGAGAGACCACTCTCCTTGGAGAGTTCATTACCTTATCCACACCCCTGGCCACTGCTCGCCGCTTGGCTAAGCACAAAGCTCAGGCTTTGTTGTGCCGGTAAGCTCCGTCTGAGGCGGATACACATCCACACGCCGCAAGTATTTGCCCAGCAGATTAACACCTCGAGGAGTGGACAACGAGCAGCATCAAGAAACACCAATCGCCCTGTCTCTCTCTTCGCTGCCGTGGAGCCAGACTCATAATCAAATGCAATGTGGCATTGGCTAAAAATGGAATTCTGCTGTCTGCACTTCATCAGAGACCCAGGGAGAGGGCTGGGGAGCTGGAATCTGAAGCTGGAAGGCTGCAGCAGGACTGTCTGTCTGACTGACTGACTGACTGACAGACAGATGAAAAAGTCAGCTCGCTCTCTCTGTGCCTCTGTTGCGGCAGGAACCCGTTTGCCCGCTCAGTGCAACATGCATTCCTCATGCCACACGAAACAATTGACATGCATTGTTGGTGTTTCAGTTGCTCCTCTTCTTGCTGAGAGGCTGAAGCTGCTGAAGATTCTCAGTCTCCGCCGCTCCGTGGCAGCCACAGCCACAGAATTGTCACAGCAACTTCCCCCTCCCTTCGCCGCACTGGCCCTCTCGGTCTCGGTTTGCCATTTTCCAAAATGAAGTTCAAATAAATGGGCAGAAAAAAGAAACTGGTTCCCACTGGCTTCAGTAAGGACACGAATAGAACTGGTTCTCCCCGGCCCGGCCCGGCCCGGCCGGCTCCGATCTGCTCTGCATTTATCAATTCCCGATCGGGCTCTGTCCCAGGCCGGTTTCCCCCAGCCCTGTATTTCATTTCATTGGATTTCATTTCAGTTGGATTCCCTTTCGTATTCCCATTCTAAAGCTCCGATATAAATTAAGATCCGTATCGGAAGGGAAACTTGAAATGGAACTGGGACTGGGACTGGGACTGGCCCTTGGAGGGCACAGAAACACAGGTCGGCAGAACGAAGCCAGCGGCAGGTGGCATTTCATATCGGAGTCGGATGCACAGTCCAAATCATATTCGGAGGGAGCTGTTTGGCTATGCGAATTTGATTTATGTATATTCGATCTTCTCTGGGCAACATCTTTCACCGGTTCGGTTCGGTTCACCGCCGTCTCCGATATCGGTTGGTGGGGTCTTTGCATCGGGCAAGTGGCGGACTGCCCGCTGCTATTTATTGTATGCGTTTATCTGCATTTTCCCGGCTCTCAACTTGCTTAATTTGCGGCGCATCCTCCTCGTCTATCCACGCTTTCCCGCCTCTCCACCCCTTCCATCCTATGCCGAACAGTCACTGTGCTTTGTCAGCGTGACATGACTTTTATGGTATAAAGTTATATTTCAGGCTGCCTGCCCACAGACACACTACTACTCGTAGACAACTTCAAAGGCATGCGATTTGTGAGGCGCCATCTGGCGTCGGGAATGCACATTCAATGGCCATAAATGTCAGCCTCGGACGGGCCAAGGATTTACGTAACAGGCGGGCCTATAAACCCAGGACTATAGTGCTTCTCCTGAGGTCAACTTGCGCCATGCCATCTGTTGAGCCGAATCGCTTGGAAACTTCTATAAAAATGCACAATCAATCAATCTAAAAGAACCCAAACAAAATATGATGTGAAGCGCATTAATTGAAAGTATTTACAACTCAACGAGCCATGACTAATTCGTGTGGTGTGTGGCAACAGCCTGGAAAACGCGACAAGTTTCCCAGGGAAAAAAAACCCAAATTAACATGTCACGTAAGGAGGAAAAAAGGCAACAAGAAGCGCCAACGAGGGGCTAATCGATAATTTACGAGCGGAAATATGGCACACCGAACCAATGATGGATTCGGCGGGGCTGAATGGCTGTGGGGGAGCTCTTGGGGCGGGGCAGGACGGGTGTGAGGCAAGGGATATTGTAACATGTTTATAAATAACGCTAATGAGGCTGGGGGCCGTCTGAAGGGAGAGGCTATCCCGCTTGTGAATTGTTTAAACAAGCGGCGAAGCGGCGGACTGGCTTTGAACTACGCTCGGAGGGGTGGGGAAACATGGAATGGGGGTGGGGAGCTGTGTAAATATTTACCCCGAAAGAGGTACATAAAATGGTTATCTCACCTTGCACCTCTGTCGAAAGTTTCATTGGGGAAACTGTTGACACTAAATATCAGCTACCATCGAATGGTAAAATTATTAGCTGAAAAGTTCATTGGGGATTGGGGATTGGGGATTGGAGATGATACTTTTAGTTTCCAGCTGATTTAATTTACTTACTTTACTTTAATCCGTTTTATTCTTCCCTTTCAGGCGACATTCTCTCGGGCGTTTGCTTCGTCGGCCAGTTGGACACCCACTCGCTGGGCGCCTTCCTCATTCTGCCCCTGTGCATATACCTCTCGATCGGGGCGCTCTTCCTCTTGGCCGGCTTCATTTCGCTATTCCGCATACGGACCGTGATGAAGACGGACGGCAAGAGAACGGACAAGCTGGAGCGGCTGATGCTGAGGATCGGCTTCTTTTCGGGGCTCTTCATCCTGCCCGCCGTGGGCCTGCTGGGCTGCCTGTTCTACGAGTACTACAACTTCGACGAGTGGATGATACAGTGGCACCGTGACATATGCAAGCCCTTCTCCATACCCTGTCCGGCTGTGAGGGCTCCGGGCACGCCCGAGGCCCGGCCCATTTTCCAGATCTTCATGGTGAAGTATCTGTGCTCGATGCTAGTCGGAGTCACCTCCAGCGTGTGGCTGTACTCCAGCAAGACCATGGTGAGCTGGCGCAACTTCGTGGAGCGGCTGCAGGGCAAGGAGCCGCGGACGCGGGCCCAGGCGTATGTCTAGTATGAGACGGGCGCAGCGGGCACCGGAGCCGGACCCAATGGCACGGCGGCGGCGGACCCCGAGGCGGCTAACGAGAGTTACTTAGTTTTTAGCACGTAAATCCCATTCCCCGATGCATGATCCCCCATCACCCAACCCACAACAGTAACCACAAATGCAGTCGTAGTTCGTAGTACTCTACTCGTAGCTTGTACAAAGTTCATCTCCCCCCACTCTGATCATGGAAATCAAAAGGTGACCCTAGGGCCCAGGGCCCAGGGCCGAGGGCCTTGGCTATTGTTTGAATCGTCTTAGTTGATACGAAAGCAAGCTTGTTGAACCAAAACTATTCATTAAGTTGAGACTCTAGCTGTAAGTCGAGTTGCATTTTGCATTTTGCATTTTGTATTTTGTTCTAGTTAGGCTGTCATCGCTTCTTCATCTTTGGACGCATCCGAATTCACGCATGGGGATTAGGTTAGATTTTGATTTTGAAAGCTTTAAATGTGCCCTACCATTAGAGAACATATATGTATACATAGGTACTATATATATAGAGTAGGAAATATGTAAGTTGTGACGATAATGATATGAATGTTAGGAATTAGAGTGGAGGTGAGCAGCGACTGGTCCCGGGCTTGCTGGCCCCGTCGCCTGCTCGCGTCCCTGGAAGTGCTTCGTCTATGTATAAAGGGAAACCATACGCAGTTTAAATGTATTATGTAGTTGCAATAGATGTCCTCCATGTGCTAAACCTAATGCAAATACGAATATTCTAATGATAATGATAAATGTAACTCTAACTCTAATTGTAACTGTAACGTAACTCTACTCTAACTGTAATTGTATATTTGTTGGGCTAATTAATTCTATGTGCGTAACGGAATACTTGTAATTCAATTTTTTAAATGACGTTGTAGTCATAGCACTTAAGCGAACAAACAAAGCGAAAACACGCGAAAATTTGTTGCCACTTTATGGAAATTTTTGCTCCGCCCCACCCCCAGGACGCACCACTAACTAAATAAGAGTTGAAACTGCCATTTAAATATTTGTAGACGAGGGAGACCCAGAGAGGCAGCAAAAGAAAAAGCCAACTCTGGTATCGGCCAACTGTTGATTCGCATTTGTTTTCAGCGCATTTAATTGAGTCCTCGATTTGATTTGAGTTGGATTGGTTATGTTGCGAGCATAAAAGTCCAAGCCAAGCCAAGCCAAGCCAGATTTGTGTAGCATTTAAGCACGCCGATGGAGCGCATATTAATTATAGCAATTATCGTTAGTCGGTGCAACATAGCAAACGAACAATTACAAGTGTATAAATATAAATATAAACGTAAAGCATCCCTGGAAGCATCATAGCAAACACAAACACAAACAGCAAATGCAAAAATAAAACTTTATTTTATTGTTAAAGACTGAAAAATGGACAGAGTGTTTGCATTTCCAGTGGGTTCGGGGAAGGAGCAAGACTCCAATCAGGTAAGAGAAATCACAATTTTGATATCCCTTCATCCAGCTCCTCTGTGATACTCTACCAAATACATAGTAGGTATCAGTACCATCTGGTGTAGCTGTCAGCTGAGGATCTATATGAGTCCTCTATATCGGTCTTGCTCAGAACGAGGTATAAGTAATCCACATGCAGCTTCGATCGTGGGATTCGTAGTGCCGCACCTCACCACTTTCAGGACTCTTCCGGCCTTCCAAATTAAACAAATGATACCTTTTTAGAAAGCCTGGAATGTATTTCCACGCAGCTGTATACATGTAGATGTAAAATCACATTAATTTTCAAGCAGTATAACAAAATGCAAGCCAACAGTAAAGATGCAGGAACCACTGCTAGAAACATTTAATGCTCCCAAGACTTCACCATGGAAAATTGGGAATATATGGCAGAACTCGTCTCTGGGCTCAGCACCAGCGGAGACATCTCTCTCTCTGCGTGCTGTGATAAGTACAATTTATGATGGTAAAACGCTGAAGCTGCAGGAAAGCGACACTGCCAAAATGGTCCTGGGATTATTCGATTCCTGCTGGCTGCAGTAAACAAATCATTGCATTTCGTAGTTCAGAACAAACGTACATGTATTTATTTCGATTTTGAGTATTGATTGTCCGTGTTGCGTATTACTTAAGATCCAGAACCCACTTTGACGGCCTGAAATAACAATAATCGGTGTTAAACTTTTCCTATTTATACCTATATTTATTATAGATTTTTTACCCATGTTCGATAATGAATCAGGTCGACTTCCTAAACTGTGGATGCAGCTATCGCAGCGTTGCTTAAATAAAATAGAGACTGAGAGAAAACGGTGAAGGACAGGATCGAGACTGAGGGCGAGCTCTGCTTTACTTACTCCTCGTAGATGATGCTCCTCATTTCCTCTGGGAGAAGGTTGTGAACTCCGGCTGGGTGCAGAGCGTGAACGTTGTGAGAACGGTTCTCTGCTCAAAGGGCTGCGCGATGTAGCACTCAGCCCAATCGCGAACACGGAGTATGTCCTGGACCAGGCCTTCCATAACGCCAAACACCACATTTGTGTCTGCCTTGCAACTGAACCAGCCGTTGACGCCGCCCTCTCGGCATCGTTTCTGGAACCGTCCACTGAATGGGATGTTCTGCTGGATATTGTGTAGCAGAAACTCGGTCTGAGCCAGGTGATTGCCATGTCCCACCCAGAACTCTGGACTCTCGTTCTCTTCCTCCACATCCAGGGTCTTTGAGGTCCCAGCGCCCGCACTCATCGTAAGATAAGCAAAACTAAAATTAAATAATATTGAAATTCGAATTCTCTCTCTGGAATGGTTGAACCTATGTTGAAGGCCTTTCCAAAGCCTACTCTTCGTCTCAAATTTATACTCGGTAACCGAGAACAATTTATACTGTTTAAAGCCGAGAATACTCTGATGGGATTTTATTGTTACAATTTCCCTTAAATGTTTAGTTTTACCATTTTAGTACTTCAAATTAGCAAGAAAGATATTCCATGTTAAGAGCACTTTTTTCTCTGTTGGGCGGCTGACCACTTAACAGATGTGAGCTCTGTTAAGTTTCGATCATTTATTTTAACTACTTCTCCCATTGGGCACCTATTGCTGAAGTGTGCTTGGATCATTTATGTTCTGCACCTAAGCATTTACAATCAGTCGGCAATCCAACACATATAAACTGCCCAGACACTGCCCATATCAGCACGAGGTCCCACTTCCCTCCTACCACCCACACCTTGTGCAGTAACATCTAAAGTTTTCCCATTAGAGGCAACTATACATTCGGACAGACACACTATGGCCACAGAAGCAGCTCGAAATTCAATCATAACTTGCCAACACCCGCATCCAACACCCAGCGGCCTCCTGCACCTCCCACTTGAAACACATGGCCGTAAGCCTTGAAATTTACGAGTGGAAACGAGAAATCCACGCCCATATAATTTTGATTACACTTGTTTTCTAAATACTCCCGGCTCCCGGCTCTGCTGAGAATGGAGGAACCACAAAAAGAAACCCCAGTAAAAAGGAAAACTCAACGCAAACAAAAACAAAACCATTTGAAGCACATGTGCATGTGTGCGGTGAAAAGGCCGAAATAGAATCCGCAGCGAGACTGTACTTACTCGCATGTGCGGGGGAGTGGGAGCGGAAGTGGGAGAGGTGGGGAAGAGGACTTCAGTCAGTCGCTAAGCTCCTTGGCAACAAATTGCAGTTAAAAACAGGCAGGGGCGTGGGCGGTGGCGGTGGCGAGGGAAAATCACTCTGCCACCTATCCGCCTCCGCTCTGGGCCAGAGCCCACGCAGAGGGACATGTATTAAAGGATATGAAGGATATGGCGATGTTTTACAAAACACGTGTGCGATTTAACAACTACAACAGCCACAGAAAAGTTTTCAGCAACAAAAGGCACGGACGGGAGAACTGCACGAAAATGGAATCCAATGTTCGCTTGGCGGTGGGTTTTGTTGCGTTTTTATGTGACCACCATAAAAAAGTTATTAATGTTAGTGTGCGAGTGTGTGCGACTGTGTGTGGGTGTAGAAGGTGGGGGAGGGGGAAGTGGATAGAGAGCTAGGGAAAGCCAGTTGCACACGGCCGCAAAATGGCGCGGGCGTGTTCAGGCGTTAATGTGGCAAAAAATGTTCGGAAGCACGAGAGGTTCGCAGGCTACCAGACCCCGACTGGCCGCATACTCTAACCGAATATACGAGTAGATCAAAATCGTGTTTATAGCTACAACGCTTCCAATATCTTCTCTGGAGTCTAGTTTGCGTTTTCTTGAAGTTTTAGTTGGGCAACGTCCCTTTTCCACACCTTTCCTGTGTTTACGATTCTCTCTTTTTTCTAGAAATTACACTCTTCTATTGCCAATGGAATATTATTATAAAACTTCAGCAACTACACCTCTCACATTCAGTATTCACCCAATCAAGCTTATATATGTAACTACGATGTACCTTCCCTCCTTCCAGGGCATCCAATCTTCGACACGCCCCTTACAATTTTCATTCAACTTCATCCAACTTTTATTTGCAGTGCAGTTTTGTTGGTGCCGAATGCGGGCGTGAAAATCATAAAGCAAAACATATGAGTGGATGGGAAGTTACTAAAAAGAACTATAAAGAACAGGAGCCAGCCAGGAGGAAATGGGGAAAACATAATCGCCCCCAAAAAGGACATCGAGGAATGTCGAAATGGGATACATTTGTGCGGTTGCACGTCCCCCCACTACACGGATACGGATACGGATACGGACAGGGATCCAGGAACTCAGTCAGTGCAGCTGACACTGTTGGAGAACTTCTGTTCTGCTCCGCAGAGGATAATCCCAGTGAGCTATGAGTCTAACAGTTTGACTTTCCCTGTAGTTTTCTGTGAGTCTCACACTATACGAGCACAATACACAGGATGATTCCCAAGCTGTGGCTATTGGTTGCCCCTGTGGCCGTGGCCCTGGCCAATGCATATGTCTATTGGGAGCAGCTGATTCTGCTGGACCCCGTGGTACTTCTTGCCAATCTGCAGGATGGAATTCTGGACACCTTTGCCGAGGTCTGGAGTAACCTGAAGACGGCTCTGGAGTTGGGCAGGGGCTGATGGAGGAAAGGCTCAATGGAAATTGACCAGAGGAATCCGACTGCTTGATGCTTTCCTGGACGTTGTTCTTCGCTATTATTTTTATATTTTTTCGGTGTCCAATCCTCGCAAATATCACTTGGAAAAGCAGCCAAAACGGAGTTTCGCTTAATTAATTGCCGAATTTGTCGCGACAAAAATCGACTGCAAAAAGAAATCTCTGGCTGGGGGAGGCAGCAGCCTTTAATTGCAATTTTCAATTAGGAAACTGCACAAGTGGGGCCAACAAAAAATACTGCAATCCTCTGTGTAGTTTACTTAATTAATGTTTGTCGTGGAGTGCTTAGGGGGCTGGCTCCCAAGTGACAACGAAAGGAGTCCAAAAAAGCATAAAACAGAACTCTGTGGGCTGGGGAAGAAGTCGAAACCTTAAATGGGTTGTTTAGTGCATGTCTTACTTTCATCGTGATTTAAAAACAATTTAAAGTCGAACTCAATACTTCTATTTCTGTATCTGTTGTTAGAAATCTCGACAGCTGCGCTAAACTAGCAATGAAATATCATTGCCGCAATGACGGGAATACCCTTGGCCTGGGGGACTTCCCTTGTTCGCGCCCCCCTCCGCATACGTCAGCCCTGGAGCCAGCACTCATCTTGCATGGAACCATGCCAAAGGCTGCAAAGTCCACCGCAAACAAAGGAAAGTTAATTGCCAGGCCAAATATGGAGTCAGCATCCCCACTCGACCACTGCCTCATCGCACCACCCCACTCAAGTCTCACATAGAACAGCATTTCGATTCAGATGGAGAGAGAGAGAGTGTTGGTTCAATATTTGCTTTAGATAAGGCGGAAAAGGCAGCCGCATCAGGACTGGCAGGAGGAGCTGCTAATTTTTCGCTGGGAAAAGTCAATTAAATCTTTCAGCCAGAGAGGGTTGGAAAACTTTTCGGCGCCCAAATGAATAAATGATGGAGCATGAATGTCAATCAAAGTTAAGCGCTGCAAAATGCAGACAAACAATCGGAACGGATTGGCGTGGGATGAGAGCGGGGGAGAGCGGGAGCGGAAGTCGAATCGAACCGAAACAAAGATGAGTCATGTCAGAGGAAGTCAACTTCCATTAGCTGTCGGCGGGGGGCGGCATAAAATTTCCCTCGCCACGCCCACAAATTGATAAAGTTTCTCTTTCGGTGGAGCAGGGGTGCCGTGCCGTGCCGGTGCCGGGGCCCTGCCCTGCCCTGCCCTCCAGCTAATCCAACAATGCCTAATGACAGTTGTCGAAAAGTTTTACCCTAAAATCGATTTTAATGGCATCGCAAATAATCGAATCGAGTTGTTTATCGGAATGAATAGTTGTTCTCTGTGGAAGGGTGTGGGACTGAGATTGGGTGACTAAGAGAGGGAGTCGGAGTCGGAGTGGGAGTGCGACCCGAAAAGTTGTCAAATTTTATAGTTATCGAGGATGGAAACGAATTTGCAAACATTTCAGTGCATTGCAAACCTTTTGGGCACCAACTTTTATGTGGCTTATTGATAAAGTTTCCCGACTCGCTCTCTACCGCTTGCCCTCTTCTTTCTCGTTCTCGCTTTCGGTCATAAATCAGTTCTGGACTCGTGCTGAGTGAGCTACGGAAAGGTGAGGCTTCAATGAGACATAAACCATGCAGCAGGTGGCCTTCCCCGCTGTCTTCTATTCCCCCCATCGCTCTTGGCTGGCTTCTCTGCCTCTCTGCTTCTTTGAGTAATTAAAGCAATTGCCCCAAAAGAGCCACAAAAGCCGAACACAGCAGGTGGCCTCTGGAGCCGGGCCTCTGTGGGTGGCTGTGGATGCGGGCTTAATCAGATTTATGCTGCGGTTTCCCGGCATCCGCACGGGCTTTGCTTAATTGTCATAATTTCTTTTTAGCGCGCCCAATAAGCTCACAAAATGTGTCCAAATGATGTGCCAAGCTGGTAGTTTCACCGAGTGCTAAAGAGGAAGGAAAGTTTGGTAAGTGAAGAGGAAATTATAAGTTGTGCTTGGATATAAAATGGGACACCCATTTGAATCTCATGGCTTCCATTATGGGAAAGCAAACAATTCCCTGAATAGAAGTATTAAAATAATGAGAAATTAATGGTACACGCACGTATTATTATGTATCTATGGCATACATGTAGGTTATGGAGGACCGAGAGAGACACGAAGCGGCCGTAGTTTCGTCGCGTCGTCTGTATAGGCAGCCTTCGGCTCTGAGAGAGCCGAGAGCAAAGAAGGAGATCAGTCGAAGTCGAGAGTCAGAGACAGTCAGTCGTAATTCAGCCACGCATCGTACGAAAATCACACACATAAGTTAAGAACATAACTGTACCACAAATTGTACTTGGAGCTAAGAAATATATATAATAAGTTCAACATCCATACTTATAAATAAATTGCCATTAAGCAAGCAAATTATCTACATACATAGAACTCCAGAACTCCAACTAGGCTGCTTCATAATATTCATTGTTTAGGAACTGATAACACTCAGAATTAATACACCCCGCATAGTTATTATTCTTTGAAATTCTTCTTAAAATAAGCTTCAAACTTCTCCCCACTGTGAGCAGTCTTCGAGTGGCTCCGACCAAACGCTGCCTGCCATCGCCCACCTACGCAATTCAAGTCCGCTTGCACGTCCACTGCTGTGCCCATCAGCTCCTCAGGCTCCCGGGACTTAATGAAAACCCATTGAGTGGTTGAGTGGTTGAGTGGAGTGGCGAATGATCTCATGGAGAAC